ACAGGCCATGCCTGCTGTCTCACATGCCAGGAGCCTCTGCCCTTTCCCCCACTAAACACACCTGCCAACTTGCTGTTGTCCAGGTACTCAACTGGGTAGGTCTTGCCAAAGCCAGGGACGCGGATCTGTACACCAGGGGCGTTGGACACACGCCCAGAGCTGTGATTGTAGGTAACCCTGAGGACAGGGGGACATTCAGTAGCCAATAGCTAAGGGGTGGCATGTGGGCGGGGCAGAGTACATGGCATGTACCTGGTGTTATCGATCCAACAGTCCACACCGAGGGGTAGAAACATATTGAGATCCAGCCAGATGGTGAAGAAGTCCTCTGTCTTGCGGTAGCACATCCAGTTCACCACGTCCGGTTTATCCAGCTTGGCTTCTAGCTGATTCCCCAGGCAGCCTGGCACTACAGGCACCGGCCCTCACTCTGGACTGCTGGACTTCCCACCATGCCCAACCCATCTCACCCCCAGACACTGCAGTGACCAGCCCCACCCCTCCAGCTCCCACACCCTCAACCCACTCCTTGTGATCATACCCCCAACACTTCCCCAGAAACCCAAAGCCCAGGTTCCCCCTCAACAGGGAATATAAAGGGGCCAAGGTCACTGACCCCAGCCCCCACAAAACAAACACTCAGCCTGGCTCTCCACTGCCAAAGTCCAAGGCAAGAACAAATACACATGGGGAAGTGGGTGGTAGACCCAGGAGTAGGAAGCAGGCCTTGATGGGTCTCTCTTGCTCTCCTGAGCTGGGCATCTTGTCTTATCTTTGGCAGGGGCCAAAGGAGGAGTGGTGGGACTTGGCTCAGAGTTACACTGGTATGGCTACAGCTGACTGTGGCTTGTCATGTCCTGGCCAAGACCTCAGGCATACCCATTCCCCTACCCCAGCCCTCTAGAGTGGCCAGTTCAGACACCAAGGACAGTGTGGTGGGGAAGTGGGTGATTTCTCTGAACAAGCTTGGGCCCCTCCCCACACCAAGGCAGGGATAGGGCTAATGCAAGGGTAGAGAGCCTTGGCCAGGTCTGCTCAAGGGCTGGGGCCCAGGCTTCCCAAGGTCCGGCCTGGTGCGTCAGGGGCCTGGCGGGGGCTTACCGAGGATGACGGGCCGTGTGTGGTTACTGAGCTCAGCCTTGGGCGTAGTGTGCGGGGGGAAGAGCACATTGAGGAGCCAGAAGGGGGCGGCAGTGGGGAGCAGCAGCTCCAGCAGCAGCAGCACCCACTGCCATGGAGAGCCGGGCAGCCCCATTCCAGCCCTAGTGCCTGCTGCCAGACAGGCAGTCCTGAGCTGGCCTTATCTAGAGTGGGGGTGGGAGGGGCCCTAGGGGCAGTGGGAGGGACAGCCTGGCCAATGGGGGTGGCCAGAGATTGCCGGAAAGGGGCACAGCCTTAGCCTCAGGGAGCCAGCTCTGGGCCGGGGTTCAGTTCCGCCTTCCTCCCTTGGCGCCAGGGAAAACAGAGCTGGGGCAGCAGGAGGCCCAGAAGTACACAATGTTTTATTGAAAAAAGTCAGGCTCCATTTGGCTTGGCGTGGTGGGGGTCGCTGCCCACAGTAGCCGGAGCCAGGTCTTCTGCAGGCAAGCTGGGCCAGACCTTGTCCCTTGCCGCCCTTTCCCTCCTCTCCGATGGTGACATCCAAACAATAAATATGCAATAAATACCGCTTCTGGGCCGGGCCAGGCCAACTGCCTTCAAATCCCACATTGGCCCCCACCAGTCTCCTCCAGCCTGGGCAGACCTACAGGGGCGCCGGACAGGAAAGTCCCCAAGCCTCCCACGATCCCACAGGACTTCGGATCCATATCCACTGCCAGGCCTGTTCTTCAAGGAGACCTCACAAAAAGCTGGATCCAGGGCAGGGCCAGGCAAGGCAGGGCTGGTAGACAGGTGCTGGGAGAGGGCTGTTACCCTGGATACCTCCACTCCAGGCCACAAGCCTGCAATGGGCTCAGGAGTAGATGGTGATGACTTCACGGCCACCGCCGCGTACCAGCAGCACCCGCTCAAGGCCCTCAGTCAGCACCTCGAGAAACTCCATATCTGCAGGACATCAGGTCAAGGAGGCAACACCAGGACCAAGGGCAACCTGGGTCACCCTACTCTAGGGGTACCCAGGGAGAGAGGCTCCTGGCCCGACTCACAAGTTGCCCAGCTCCCATTGCCTGCCTCTCCACAAAGGGATACAGTTCTCATCACCCTCGCTGTTCTTGGGTGGGCCAGGCATGTTCAGTAGGACCAGGCGGGCGTCGTGGGAGCGTGTGACGATTACTTCATTGAGCTTCACAGCGGTGTGCATGCGCCGCACGTTGGACTGATCCCTGCAGGTCATGCAACTGATTGTTGGTCTCAGAGAATCATCTACAAGGACCCCTGATCCTGGCTCAGCCACCCTGTTATCTGCCCTTACTCCATCTCTACCCCCAGCCCCAAACCCCAAACCTATGGGGACAGAGCAGGTCCTCTAAGGGCCCAGCTCCTTGGTCCATTTTCACTGCACTCACGGCTTAATGTGCACCAGCTCCCGGAAGTTGTCAGGGGCATGGCTGGGGTCCCAAGGCTCAGCCATGTACTTGTCCCGGGTCCATGTCATCTGGATCTTATCGGGCCCTGCTGCAGACTCATCCTCCTCATCTGAGTACAGGCTTTCCAGGCGCAGGGCCGAATGTCGGTCCTTGATTAATTGGGCCTGAGAATCATCAGAGGACACCTTAGTGCCATGGATAGAGGTGGGCCCAAAATGGCAATCAGCCTCAGGAAAAGGGACACTGGATTGGGTGGGCCTAGGGTAAGTTGTCCTGATGCCCTGCCCTATGGTATCACCAAAGATCTGAACCGGACACTGCCACCCACCCCAGCCCAAACCAAGAAGGCCACTGACTTCTCGCTCGCGCTCCGTCTTGGTCAGTCTCATCTGCCGCAGCATCTGGGACCGCTGCTCCATCATCAGTGTCCGCTCGTAGGTGTATGCAGAGATGTCACTATTGTGCTAGGGACAGGGTAGGCTATGAGGACCCAGGCTGTGGGGGCACGAAATCCACAAGGCCAGTTCAGGGAGGACAGCTCACCATCTCCACCACTTCCACCTCTGCCTCAAGGCGCAGGTGGTACAGGAAGATGGCCAGATCCTTCTTCATCTGGATGCTGTTGTCGTCCATCTGGGCCACTGTGAAGATGCGCATCCGGCACTTCCTCCAAACCTGTGGGGACAGAGCAGGGGGGTGGTTTAGTGCCCACTCCTCTAAGGCTCAGCCCCTCCTGCCCTTGCCACCTGCCTGGCACACCTTATGCTGACGCAACAGGAAGGGCAAGAGCATGAGCATGCCGCCATCATGCACAATCCACCACACGTCGATGTGGCCCTCCAGGTAGCGCTCGTGGTTGCTGGGGTAGAAGGCGATGTTCTTGGGCACGAGCAGGGCCAGATGAGCCGCCGTAGTACAACGCACAGTGTCTGGGGGGTGGGGGGAGCACTGCTGACTGCCAGTCTGCAGCTCTCGAGCCTCTGCCACCCCACCTGAACCCCCAGCCCCCAGGTCAACCTGGCCTAGCCCAGGCGCTGGCCCCTCACACACCAATAAAGGTCTTCCAGGCACGGGGGTCCTCGCTCTGTCGCCAGCCGTAGGGCCAGCCCAGCACCACGGAGTTATGCCTCATGCCGCCCAGGCCGCAAGACTGGATGAGGTGGGCCAGCCCCTCACGCACCTTGCTGGCTACCACGACCTGGCAGAAGCCTTTCACCTTCTCAATCTCCATCATATTCTTGATTGTCTGAGGGAAACAGACTCGCATCAGAAGCCAAGTCGTTAACTTTCTCTGTTGGGTTCCTTCTAGGAGCCCTAGGACCTATAGCTACTTGGGGGCAAGAGGCCATGTTTTCACATGGGTCAGGTATAGCTGCCTTATTCCAGCTCTCAAGGGGCAGCAGCGTTGTCTGTCTGCCTGGCTGCCATGCTGCTTAGGACTGGTCCCCTCCCCAGTGTACCAGCTACAACCCAGAACACCTGTGGTGGTCTGGTTCAGTTCCCCTGGCTGGGGTGAGGCAGTGTGCACCTGCTCGGCAGCCTGGGCCTCTCCATAGCTCTCCAAGAAGCTGCCCTGGATGACAGAACCGACGATTGTCAGACCCTTGCCGGCCTTGAGCTGGGAGGCAAAGGTGAGGAGCCGTGGGTACTTCACATGCAGGTCCTCGTCCAGCTTCAGCAGCACCAGTAGCTGAGGCCTACAGGGGCCAGACGGGGACCAGACAGCCCAAGACTAGAGCTGGACTTCTCTAGGGTCCCCTGCTCTTCCCCCCATAGGCCCTGGGACCTCACAGGTTTGGATCCAAGGGCTCAACAAGCAGGAGGGTGCCTCTGTCACCCCCAGGATGAAAGACCTGGACTAAGGAAGGGGAGGCAGCACTTCTTGACTTTCCCACCCACAAAGCCCCACTAGGGACCTTGAGAAGACAACCCCTGAAGGTCTGAGTGTGAACTCACCGCCAGTTTTTGGTGTGAGGAGGCCCCTCCTCTAGCCGCAACAGTGCATAGCGAGCGGCACTCAGGGACAGGCCTCGGATCCCATCACCCCACTCCTTCTCAGCCCTGTAAATACCATAGCTGGTGAGCCCCTGGGCCCACCCCTCCCAGTCCTATCACCTATGGTGGATAGCAAAGGCTGGCCCAGCTCCCCTCAGCCTAACACTCAAGACAACTCAGCTTGCTCACCCAGGCACCCTCAGTGCTCTGCAGGCTGTGGACAGAAGCCAGATGGTAGCCCTTCACTCACCCTTGGTATTCGATGTACTTGTAGATCATGCCTGCGATGAGCATGGCGACCAGCGCATAGTACCAGGAGGAGACGAACATGAGGGCCAGGCAGAGGCTCATGCCCAGGAAGGACAGTGCCCTGGGACAAAGTGGGGGGGAGGTGAAGATCAGGGCAAGACCAAGAGGGTCCCAGGCCACAGCCTATCCCAAACCCTGGCAGCCCCATCAGGTTCCAGGTCATACACTGGAAGGGTGGGGCAAGAATCAGATTGAGCCCCTCAGCCCCGTAACCTCCTTCCCCAGTGTTTCACTAGGAGTAACTGCAGCCCAGGAAACTTGAGCCTCATCCAGAATGGGGCTCTTGGCCCCTGCAGTTCCTCCTGTGTCAGAGGACTTGGCTCAGGGGCCCAGCTAGGCTCACCAGTGATAGTACTTGAACCGGGGCCGCCAGTTGGGGGTCCTCAGGAGTGTCTGCACAGCACAGGCCAGGTTCACGAACAGGTAACACATCAGAAAAAACCTGCAGCACAGGGAGGCAGTTGGTGCAGAGCGGCCTTCGCAGCAGCCTGTGTACCTGCCCTGCATGGGCTCAGGCTGGTCTTCTCAACCTTCCACACCTGTTGCCATGCCTGAGGCAGATGGGTTCCAACAGGAAAAGTGTTCCTAAAGAGCTACATCACAGAAGATGGGTAAGTGTTCTCCAGAGCGGAAAGTGGGAATGGATGAAGGCTGGGGAACAGCAAGAATAGAACTGGAAAAGGATGGGCAAGGAGTGCTCAGGATCTGACACAGATGACACTCAGGTCTCCGGCCTGGGTGACCAAATGGATGAGGGGCTGTCACATGGAAAGGAGGAGCAGGTGGAGGGAGATGACAAGGACAAGGACCATCTAAATGTACTGAGATTGGTTATATACTGTGGTGAATATGGGAGTCTAGAACAAGGGCAAGGTCAGCCCAGAAGGCAGGACTCATGGGAGAGGACATGCCAGGGTCAGGTGTGCCCATGATGGGGGAGTGCTAAGTTCCTCCAGAGCTGCCACCAAGAGTCACATAATCAGGACTGAGAAGTATGCTCTCGCTTGGGTAAGAAGGGTCACCACCAAGATGACCATGGTAAAAATGGTCTCCAGTGTGCACTTCTGTGAGGAGCATACATATATCGAGGGGCACAAGAGGTAGGCCTGGTTGGGGTGGAGATTGTTCAGGAAAAGGGTCTGGAAGCTGTCAGGTCTGCAGTTAAGTTGAGCCATGAAGGGTGGGCCCTTCAACACTGAGAAGCAAAAACGAGCCTCAGACCAGCAGGTGGCACGGTGTTTAAGGTGGCTGGATCTCACATGGCTGACTGCAGTTCAAGTCTTGGGCCCAGTGGCTTAAGAAATACATGGGGTACAAGAGCATGTGTGCCCAAAATCTCAAAAGGAAAGAGATGGAGAATGGATTGTGGTGTGACCATTCTCCATGGGAAAACGCCTCTTCACTTTTCCTCTCTCTCTGTGTCTCTGGCAAGTGCACACACCCTAGCAAATTAAATAAAAAGAAAAGAAAAGGAAAGAAAAGAGGAGCCTCATGGAGCAGGGTAACCAAAGACTTTAACACAGGCAGAGGGGAACACAGCAACTATGAGCGGTACCTCAGGGACTCCTGGGAAGCACCATGTGCGGTCCCTACCTACAAGGCACTAGCACACTCATTTTCCCAGCTGATTCAGGAACTTTGAAAGCAAAAACGTTTGCAAATGGATGAACAGGGGCCAGCCCTGTATACTAGTGGTTAAGGGATCGCATATAGCCAAACATAATTAAATTCCAGCTCTGGTGACTTGACGAACATGCCAGGTGCATAAGTGTACATGCCCCAATTCCTAGTAGGATGGAGAAATGGAGGGATTGTGCGACCATAACCCATTGCATGGTGCTTTCTCTCTGTCTCTCCATCCCTCTGTGAGGCAAGTAATTATACCCTCTTCAATCTGAGTAAGAAAAAGTAAATGGAATGGGCAGTGGCAGCTTCATCAAGGCATGCAGGACTGGGTGCTTGTTCTGTGCAGGGACAGCGACCTGGCAGCCACCTTCTCTAAGGCTCTCCACTGAGGGGTGTGGGACCTCTTGGTTCTCTAAACAACGTATTTCGCACAGGTACCAGGCTCGCTCCCAAATCCTGGTGTAGGCTAAGCCTGCCAGGTACTATCTCCTCACACAGCCTCCTATATCTCCCAGCCTTAACACCCAACATGATCATGGGCTGGTGCTTGCAACAGTGTTGGGGTTCAGGAAGCCTTTCCCAAGACCACTCCCCTGCCCTGCCCTTGCTCACATGGATAGAATGGGGGCCACCATGTCAAGAGAGGCGATGAGGATGCCCAGCTCAGCGATGAGTGCAGTCAGGAGGAGAGCCCATGTTGGTTCACCGTTTGCCTTCCCATGGCCGAACACCTGCATGCACCAAGGAGAAAGCTGGTCCTATCACCTCCATCCCACACCTCAAGCGCCTAGCCATAGCCTGCTCTCCATCATCCTTGGGTCCCTCCTTTGGGGCCCAGCCCCATCCCTGTGGGTGTACCAAATTTCCTGCCTCCCCTCCTCCTCCACCCCTCCAGGCCTCTCTGCCCTGGATGAGCCAGACAGGCAATACAGCAGCTCGGCCAACAGCAAACAGGGCAGGGGCCACGGCGGCTCTCACAGCTTCTCAGAGATGGCTGCATGGCCCAAGGCCACTGTGGGCAGGACATGCTGCCTCTGCTTCCCGCCTCTCTCCCCAGCCATGAGGGGAGTGTGGAGGGGCTCACCCGGAGGAAGGGGATGATGTTGTCCTTGGCAATGGCCTGCAATAGGCGTGGTGCCCCAGTGAGGCTCTGGAGGCCGGCGCCACAAGTTGAGAAGAAAGAGCCGACGACAATGACCCAGGGCGAAGGCCAGGCCAATGTGCCCACTACCAGGTTCCGGCTGACGCCGTCGCCGTACCTGCAGGCGCTGGGCTCAGGCTATGCTGTTGTGCAATGAGTCCCCCCAAACCCTGGATGGGGCTGCCCAGAGCAAGGGATGTCATAGGTCAGGAAGGATGACTACAGTGGGCAGACCTTGGCCCTTCAGTGGAAAACGCCAGCCCTATCCTTGCTCTTCAGCCTAGCCCCAGTCCTGATGTCACCTTCCTCTCAGAGGCAGAACCTGACCCACCTGGTGGCACAGAGCACCACTGAAGCTAGCACCCTGAGGACCTGTGGGACTGTGGGGGGAGGGAGGGAAGGCGGGACTGGCAGGGCTGAGACACTGCTACGGGCAGGGGCATGGCTAACTCACTTGTCCCTGAGCACCACCCCCTCGATGCAAGCTCCGAAGAGAACCACACTGCTGAAGTCTGCAGCAGCACGTCAAGGAAAGCAAGGCCTCCACCACGCGCACTGCTGCCCTGGCTCATTCCCCACATGGGATCCATGGGACCCTCACCGGAGCCTCAGCCAGCACACTGACAGCCGAGGGTCTGGAGGTGTGCACGTGTGCAAGGAGGTGAGATATATACATGTGCACGTATGTGCTGTACCTGGGCATGTCACTGGCAGCTTACCCACAGACAAGTCCCTCCCATCCCCCCCACTCACCCCAGGCCTAGGAAAGGATATATACAAGGGAGGTTGTAATGATAGCCAGAATGGTCCCCACTGGGATGGACTTCTGGGCATCGCGGAGGTCTCCGGAGCGGTTCGAGCCAGCCATGATGCCTCCAAAAACAGACAAGACTCCCTCAGGGGCTCTCGGGACTTGGGGCAGGGCTGGGTGGGTGGACAATAGGGGCTTACCTGTTACGGAGGGGAAGAAGATGCCAACCAGCACAGTGAAGGATGTGGCGATGTCAGCCACCACATACAGGGGCAGGCTCTCCTTCAGGCCAAGAGCATCCGTGGAGGGCAGCCCGTGCTTCTCCACGACCTCCCCTTTCTCCAGGTAGGCACTCCACAGGTTTTCTGCAGGGGCAGCGGCATCACCACTACAGCCCACCTACTTCCCTGGGGCAGTTCAGAGGCTGAGGACACAGCAAAGCTCGGGGGACTCAGGACAGCTTCAGCCACAGGGTTGCTCTGGCTGCAGGGAAGGAGCTGTCAGGCTAGGAGCCTGACAGACAGAGGTGGCTGAACCACCACCAGTCAGAGTCTCCCCAGAGCCTGCCTCCCAGACAGAAGCCCTTTATAGCTCTGAAGGGAACATCCTAGGCAGCATGTGTGGCTGGTGGCTGAGGGAAAAAGGGGCTGTCAGAACTTTGTGGGGGCTGCTACTGGCCTGGGACACTAGCCAAACAGCTTCCGCTCACCCGAAACTCAGCTGCCAGGAACCAGGCTAAGAGGACACTACTGGGCGGGAAGGCAGCCAGATCTGCCTCCCATTCCCTAACTGGCCACAACAAGGACAGCTCTGTGTTCTACTCTCCCGCTTGGCCTGTGGGCTCAGGAGCAGCAGCGCGGGAAGGAAGACCCACCCTGGAGCACACCAGCAGCTGCCCCAGGGATGCCAGGGATCTCAGTCACGTTGTTGAGCAGGAAGTAGGGGTCACAGGAGTCAGTGGTAAGGTTGGGGCTGTGGCAGAAGAAACTCCATAGCCGGGTAGCCACTGTCTCATTGTCCACTATGGCTGTCTTGGCACAGATGTCAAATTGGTCCCGGGACAGGGTCCTGTTGCCCAGCATGCATACCCTGTAGGGGACAAAAGAATCAACACCTGCTCTCTTGGAGACTCCTGTAGTCTCTGGGAGAATGTCAGTACAATGCCTTACAAATTCCCAGGGTACTTACGGAAACACAGGAGGGTCGAAAATAGACTTGACACCCCCAGCATAGATGGAGAGGATGGAGATGATCACACAGGCCAGGAAGAGCGAGGCAAACTTGTTCACATACTTCACACCAACAAATACCACTAGAGTCATGAAAATCAGAAAAATGGTCCCATATACCCGCATATTGTTCAAGGTGGCGCTCGATGTGTCATGAGCGCCTGATGGGTAAAAAATGGCAGCTGGTGGGGCAATGTAGGTCTGAAATGAAAAGGATAAAGAAGATTAGACTGGGGCCTGCAGGTGGCAGAGTGAGTAGGGCACTGGACTCCCATGTGGGTGACTCCAGTTTGAGGCCCAGACCCAGAGGTTTGAAACTCATACTGGGTGCATGTGCGTGCATCCCTAAGATTCTAAAATTCCAGGAGGAGAACGGAGAAGGGACTGTGGCATGGCCATCCTTCGGGGGGTGGGGAGTGGTTTCTAGCTTTCTCTCTGTCTCTGTCTCCCCATCAAGCATACACACACTATAGCAAATATCTCCCTTCAAAAAAAGAAAAAAAAAAAAAGTTTAGGGCCAGCAGGTAGCATGGTGGTTGGGGTGCTGGACTCCCACATGGCAGACAGCGGTTTGAGTCCCAGGCCTGGCAGCTTGCTTTCTCACTTTCCCTTTCTTTCTCTCTCTCTCGTCACATTTTGAAAAATAATAACAAAATCAAATTAAAAATTTTTCTTTTAAAAAAAGGTTAGGCCCCATAAGCACAGTGGCTAGGTGCTGTAGAGAGGAAGCGAGAGCCTAAGTGACTGTCTGAGGTTTGAATCATGGCCCTCATGGCAAACACTGGGCAATGTAGGTAAATGGTCAGGATCCTGCCAGGATGGTAGAGTGGAAGAAAGGGGATTACGGTGTAACCAGGCAGTGCTTCTTTTCCCTCTCTCTGGCATACACGCCCTTTGGCACTAAAAAAGGAAACGAAAGAAAAACAGGAAGCACCATCTTTCTATTTGAAGAGTGAAACCATTTTTGTCTTTTTTTTTCTTTTTTCCCCACAGAGCACATCCATGTACACATGACAGAGAGAGAGAGAGAGAGAGAGAGAAAGAGGAGTGCCTTTCAGAGGGTCTGGTCACATCGTGACACCCTTCCTCCAATCCTCCAGCCTGTCAGATATGGGTACCCTTGCACATGCAAGGTGTGTTTCAGACTAACCAGGCCAAGGGTTCAAACTGCGGTCATCATGTGGGCTCTGACTTCTCTTGAGCAGCACTTTACTGTCAAGTCTCAGAGCTGCTCCTGATTTTCTTTTTCTTTTTTTATAATTATTTTATTTATTCATTCATTTTTATTTTTTAATTTGACCAGAGAGAGACAGACGTTGAGAGTGAGAGAGAGAGGAAGCGAGAAGGCAAGCCACCAGACTCAGGACTCGAACCCTGGTTGGCCATGTGGGAGTGTCCAGCACCTTAACCACCACGCCATCTGCTGGTCCCGACCTGGTTTTCTTTTTTAAAGTTCCTCTAAAAGAAGCCAGTTACAAAGGATGAAACATACTGTATAATTCTGTTTTTTCCTTTTTTTGTTTGTTTGTTTTTTAAGGTTTTTGCCATAGGGTCTATGTGCTCACTGGAGAGATAGAGAGGCAGTGAGAGGGAAAGTGAAAAATCATGGCTATGCTGCAATCCCCTCTCCTCCATTCTCCTCCTGGGATTTTGGGCACACACACACATGCCCAGTGTAATTCTCAAGCTGCTGGGTCTGGGACTCGAACCGCAGTTGACCACGTGGGAGTCCAGTGCCTTAACCACTACACCACCTGCTGGCCCCAGTATGATTCTGTTTATGTCAAATGTTCACAATAGGCAAACCCATTGAGACAGAAAGCAGATTAGTGGGTGCCTCGCGCTGGGTGCTATGGAGAATGACTACTAATGGGATTTCTTTTGGGAGAGATAGAAATATTCTAAAATTGACTGTGATAATTGCACAACTGTGTGAATATTCTAAAAACCACTGAATGGTACACCTTCAATAGATAGTGAATTATATGGTATGTGAATTATAGCATAAAGTTTAGTAAAGCTGTTATTTAAGAACAGAGGCCGGCAGGTGGTGTGGTGGTTAAGGGCGCTGGGCTCCCACATGGCTGACCACAGTGGCTTGTTTTCTCACTTTGCATCTTTCTCACTCTTTCTCATTCTGTACCTCTCTGGTCAAATTAAAATCAATACATTAAAAAAATTTTTTTTAATGTATTGATTTTAATTTGACCAGAGAGGTACAGAATGAGAAAGAGTGAGAAAGATGCAAAGTGAGAAAACAAGCCACTGTGGTCAGCCATGTGGGAATCCAGCACCCTTATCCACTATGCCACCTGCCGGCCCCAATAAAATAATTCACGGCCCCAAAAAAAAAAAAATTTAAAAAAAAAAAAAAAAAAAAAAAAAAAAGAACCTAACAAACAAAGAAGGCTCCAGATACAGATGCCAACCTGAATGGCTAAATAGCCAAAGTAAAATAATTTGAGCAACAAAATAAATAATGATAGTATTAAATTATAACCCAAAGAACAAAACAAATATCTAGAAGTCTATACTGATATTGTTACATGGTTGAATAAATAAATAAATGAAAAGATAAATTTCCCTTAGAGAGGACTTTCAAATAATGTAGAAGTAGTAAGAAAAATAGAAAAGAAACAAACAAACAACCCCAAAGATCCCTGTGCAGGGTCTACACTGCAGGTAGAGGACCTGGAGATGGGAAGAGCTAGGAAGTCCCTCTAAATATCTCCCTCTCTAGATCCCCAAGGGTGGGCATCTGTCACCCTGTGCTCCCCACCTCTTCTGCCCGTGGCTGAGACAGTTCAGTGGGGAGCAAGACACTGAGTCTGAGCACCACAGGGCTGAGAGAGGGTACCAACCTCAAGACAGGGATCTGTGGCTGATCACCTTGACTTAGAGATGAGAAGCTGGACCTGAAGGGCCGTGGCATAGAGCCCCATAGAGCTGGAGTTGGATAGAGCCCACACAAATCCAGGAGGCAGGCTCTGTGTCACCACCAAGATCTGTCACCAAGCTAAACATCCCAGTTCATGAACCACTTGCCGTGGCTGAAATGGTGCCCAGGTAGGTGGAACATCTGACTGGCCCAAACTGGCATAGGGGTGAAAGGAAGACTGGCTTGAGAAAAGATCTTTCTCGCTTGAAGAGGCCTCCCATTTATAACCCCCAGACACCAGCCACAAGGTGAGGAGAGCATGAGCAACCTGGGCCTTTAGTTTGGACTCCAAAGGCACTGTCTGGACAGGACCAGAGCTGGCCAGGGCTTAGCCTGACTCACCAGCAAGATCTCGATGGCACCTAAGATGTACATGGCTGCTGCAAATGTTGTTCCCAGGTAGAAACACAGGCCCACGGCACCTCCAAATTCTGGCCCCAGCGAGCGGGAGATCATGAAATAGGAGCCCCCGGCTACAGCAGAGAAAACATACAAATATCAAGGTTGGTTCTTCAACAGGGTCTTCCCCGTGACAGGCCCTCATAACTACTCGGGGGGCAGGGACTGTTTTTCCCACTTACAGGTGAGCCCAGGGATTGCGAGACTAGCCCAAGGCTGCAAGGTTGGTCAGTAGCCAGGTGGGAGCCAGGCCCCATCCCTGTCTGATTCTCATGTCTAGCGGGAGCCAGTGAAATTACTGTTCTGGGGCAGCTCAAGGTCCCCAGCAGCAGCTGAGCAGCCCACTGTCCTTTAACTCCCTGTACTCAGGCCACATCCACAACCTGCTCTGGCCAGCTGTGGTGTGTCTTACCTCAGCACACCTCACCCCTCCTGAGGCCTGTGCCTTTATTAGTCTGACCTTTCCAGACCAGGACAGGGACTGTTGTCTCGTCTTGTTTTTTTTCTGCCCCTAGGACTGAGCACAGGGCCTGCCTGTGAGTGTCTATTGCTGATGCTCCTGCCCTGAGTCTGTGCTTTAATCAGAGTCTAACTCCCTGACAAGACTAAAAGAGTAAACACTGGGCTCCAGGGTGGCGAGGTTGCAGGGGCACAAGGGTGATCCCATACTGCTGCTTGTATCTGCTGCTGAAAAACCTTCTTTGGTAAATCTTGGAACAAGAATCAAGAAACTTGAAAGGTCAATCCCTTTGATGTTGTAATTCTACTCCTAAACCCTCTTCTAAAGAGAACTGCCAGGGCCTGAACTTCATGTTCAAAGCTGTTCATGACAACATCTACAAAAGAAGAACCCACAGGGAGGGTTAATCACATCCGTTAGGTTATATCCAACCATGGCCAATCCTATTTAAAGAAAACGGGAACCAGCAGTTAGCATAATGGCTATGTCGCTGGGCTCCCACGTAGTCGACCGTGGTTCGCGTCCCGGACCCGGTGGCTTAAAACTCATGCCGGGCGCATGTGCGTACATGCCCAAGATCCCGAGCGGAGAATGGAGGAGAAGGGATTGCGGCGTGCCCATCCCCCCTGGGGGGTGAGTTCTCGCTTTCTGTCTCTGTCTGTCTGGCAAGCGCACGCACCCTAGAGCAAAAACCTCTCCAAAAAAAAAAAAAAAAAAAAAAAAAAAAAAAAAAAAAAAAAAAAACTGTTTCCAACATGGAAAATACACACACGTGTCATATATATAGAGAGATACTTAGAAGACTCTAAGACTACATAACAAAAGGCCAACAGTAACAAGCTCCCCTGGTATTATTATGAGTGCAAACCCTCTTATTGGTAATTATATATTACCTTTTTTAGGGTATTAGTTTTATATTAATACAACACAATAGCAATCTCAAACTCTGTCAGGCAGAGAAGCTCCTAAGTGTGGCGCTGTCTTGTAGCAGGGACTAGGACCCCACCAGAGAACTGTCTTGGGAGGTGGGGACAGGTCAAGGTAGATTCTAGGCTCTGTTCCCCACATTGGCCTGGGGTGGTGCTCACCCACCTGGAACAACGCCGTTGGTGGCAATGGCACTCATGGAGATGGCTGTCAGCAGGGTCTGTGGAAAACAGAGCCTGGGTGAGCAGGTCAGTTGGGTGGGCTCTATGGGGCAGCCATGGCCCATACCTAGCGCAGTCCTGGCCCCACTGGACACTTACACAACAGCAGCAGATGAGCACGATGAGGAGGGCCTGCAGCACACCAGCCGTGCCCACCATCCAGGTCAGCCGCAGGAAGAGGATAACCCCGAAGATATTCTGCAGGCAGGGCAGGTACACCCCCATGAGGGTGCCCATGCTGGGTGCCTATGTGGGTGGGAGGGGAGGGGGATGCACAGAGCATCAGAGGAGACCAGATGCACCATGAAGGACCGGCTGCTAGTCACTCAATAGTCCCCCACCCCCAGTGGGGTCCTGAAGAGTGCAGGAGGTGGGGGTCACAGCTAGGATATCTCTATTGACTTTCAGATAAGAAGACAGTTTGGATGGGGAAGGTATAACCCCAGATTCTTCTTCTTTTTTTTTTTTTTGGAGAGGTTTTCACTATAGGGTGCGTGCGCTCGCCAGACAGACAGAGAGAGACATAGAGACGGAAAGCAAGAAATCCCCCCCCAGAGGGGATGGCCATGCCGCAATCCCTTCTCCTCCATTCTCCTCTCGGGATCTTGGGCACGCACGCACATGCACCCGGCGTGAGTTTAAGCCACCGGGTCTGGCACTCAAACCACGGTCGACTACAACTACGTGGGGGTCCAGTGACATAGCCATTATGCTGTCAGCTGGTTCCCAACCCCAGATTCTTTTTAAAACCTCATGTGTGGGGGACCAGCAATTAGCGTAATGGCTATGTCACTGGACCCCCACGTAGTTGTAGTCGACCGTGGTTTGAGTGCCAGACCCGGTGGCTTAAACTCACGCCGGGTGCGTGTGCGTGCATGCCCAAGATCCCGAGAGGAGAATGGAGGAGAAGGGATTGTGGCGTGGCCATCCCCCCTGGGGGGTGATTTCTCGCTTTCTATCTCTCTGTCTGGCGAGCGCACGCGCCCAATAGCAAAAACAAACAAACAAAACAGAAAAAAAAAAAAAAGTCCACAAAACAGAAAAAAAAAAAAAGTCCAATTTTATCATCCATGCTGGAAACTATCACTGCCTGATGTGTGGTCCAGATTCCTTGGCTGGAGTCATAAGACATGTCCCATCAATTCCCGTGTCAGCCAAAACCCTGACCTCAGATTCTCTGAACCTGGGCACATGCTGGGCTCTGCCTGGGAAGGTCGGTTCTGCCCTACTGCCTTGAAAACTCCTCTTCAGTGAAACCTTCAGGAGGTTTAATTGTTATTGCTTCCAGGAAGTTCCCCCAGGTTGTTTTGGGTGGAGCTGGTACTCCCTCTTGTATTCCCTCGATGTCTAATACTCTTCTATTGTAGTGGTCACTATAGGTCACGGTAACCATTACCCAGTATGCCTCCTGATCACACTGGGGTACACTTCCAGCAGGCTGTGCATGTACCTAAAAAGTGCTCCTGAACCCAGTGAGTGGTTGGGAAAATACTGCAGGAAGAGCTGAGGCTCAGACTATGGGATAAGTGAGGAAGGTCTAATGTACAGATCCAGGCAGGAATTCCTAACTATCCAAGAGAAGAGTTCGAGCCAGTCAGGAGGCTAGGGCAGGGGCTGAGAGCAGAGGCAGGGCTGGGGGTTTGAAGAACTGAGCTCCATGAGTGCAGCCCAGGGCAGGACAATCTGGAGGGCTTTCACAGGAGCTCCAGCAAAGCCTCATGCTACCCTGAGCTGGGGACATGCCCACAGGATCCCTCCTGGAGGGTCCAGGACTGGGTCGGGATCTGTGTGCAGCCTAACAGACCTCAGAAGGGCAAGGCAAGAACAAGTGGTTCCTCAAACTGCCCTGTACAGCAGTGGGATGACAGACCTCATCTAGGCTCTGTCTGAGCCCTTCTCAGAGGATACCACCCACTGGAGAGTGGCAGCAAGAGCTCCCAGTCCCACCCCCACCCCCACCCTAGGCTGAGTCACTCCAAGAAAAGGGCAGTGTGGGAAAGGGCAGGGCCGGAAATGCTTTCCGCATCCCCAAATAACCTCTGGCAGCCTCAGAAGGTCACCAGGCCAGAGCCAGAGAGGCTCCCAGAGAGAGGTTGCCTTGGGTCTTGGCATGGTCTGGTTAGAGGCCCACCCTTCCCGCTTCAACCTTCTTTTTCTGAGGCCCTTGCTCAGTCTCACCCTGAGTAGGGGCCACAGCTCAGCAGTCCTGGCTCCCTGGCTTCCTGCT